TGAGCTAAGAACTGACATCCCAGCACTCAGAATATTCCCATAAGCAGTTTGTTCTCATCTTCAGCAGCCATCAAAGAGTTCCAAAGAAAATATGTCCGACCTCTCCTCTGAGTTTATAGTGTGTCAACCAGGTCCCCCTTGTCACTCCCAGTGGTACCATTCTGTCCCGACCAGGTCCCCCTTGTCACTCCCAGCGGTACCATTCTGTCCCGACCAGATCCCCCTTGTCACTCCCAGCGGTACCATTCTGTCCCGACCAGGTCCCTCTTGTCACTCCCAGCGGTACCATTCTGTCCCGACCAGGTCCCTCTTGTCACTCCCAGCGGTACCATTCTGTCCCGATCAGATCCCCCTTGTCACTCCCAGCGGTACTATTCTGTCCCGACCAGGTCCCTCTTGTCACTCCCAGTGGTACCAATCTGTCCCGACCAGGTTCCTCCTTGCCACTCCCAGCGGTACCATTCTGTCCCGACCAGATCCCCCTTTTCACTCCCAGCGGTACCATTCTGTCCCGACCAGATCCCCCTTGTCACTCCCAGCGGTACCATTCTGTCCCGACCAGATCCCCCTTGTCACTCCCAGCAGTACCACTCGGTCCCGACCAGATCACCCTTGTCACTCCCAGCGGTACCATTCTGTCCCGACCAGATCCCCCTTGTCACTCCCAGCGGTACCATTCTGTCCCGACCAGATCCCCCTTGTCACTCCCAGTGGTACCATTCTGTCCCGACCAGATCACCCTTGTCACTCCCAGCGGTACCATTCTGTCCCGACCAGGTCTCCCTTGTCACTCCCAGCGGTACCATTCTGTCCCGACCAGGTCTCCCTTGTCACTCGCAGTGGTACCATTCTGTCCCGACCAGATCCCCCTTGTCACTCCCAGCGGTACCATTCTGTCCCGACCAGATCCCCCTTGTCACACCCAGCGGTACCATTCGGTCCCGACCAGATCCCTCTTGTCACTCCCAGCGGTACCATTCTATCCCGACCAGATCCCCCTTGTCACTCCCAGCAGTGCCATTCTGTCCCGACCAGATCCCCCTTGTCACTCCCAGCGGTACCATTCTGTCCCGACCAGATCCCCCTTGCCACTCCCAGCGGTACCATTCTGTCCCGACCAGGTCTCCCTTGTCACTCCCAGCGGTACCATTCTGTCCCGACCAGGTCCCCCTTGTCACTCCCAGCAGTACCATTCGGTCGCGACCAGATCACCCTCGTCACTCCCAGCGGTACCATTCTGTCCTGACCAGATCCTCCTTGTCACTCCCAGTGGTACCATTCTGTCCTGACCAGATCCCCCTTGTCACTCCCAGCGGTACCATTCTGTCCCGACCAGATCCCCCTTGTCACTCCCAGCAGTACCATTCTGTCCCGACCAGATCCCCCTTGTCACTCCCAGCGGTACCATTCTGTCCCGACCAGGTCTCCCTTGTCACTCTCAGCGGTACCATTCTGTCCCGACCAGGTCTCCCTTGTCACTCCCAGCGGTACCATTCTGTCCCGACCAGGTCTCCCTTGTCACTCCCAGCGGTACCATTCTGTCCTGACCAGATCCCCCTTGTCACTCCCAGTGGTACCATTCTGTCCCGACCAGATCCCCCTTGTCACTCCCAGTGGTACCATTCTGTCCCGACCAGATCCCCCTTGTCACTCCCAGCGGTACCATTCTGTCCCGACCATAATAATAATAGCATCAAATGGCCTTGGCCATATATAACTTGTCATACTGCTTCTTCTTGTTCTTATGTGTTCATCCGAAGGTGTAATTGTGTTGTGTCCGTTTGCAGCAAGGCTGCAATATTTGCACCTATTGGCCAAGACATCTGACTTCTGCTGGTATTTGCTGACCGTGTTAGTTTTGTGGTCATCTTTGTTTCCCAGGTCACTGGTAGTGCCCCAAATCAGGCTGGTCCAGAGAGGCCATGAAATGTTGAACAGCCCTCAGAAGACGACAGGAGCAGAATAACGTCGTCCCCTTGTGGGATGCAATTTGTTATTATTTGAAGCTCACCCTGGCTTCTGCCAGGGGCCCTGAATTTAGCCAGGGCATATCTAAGGCCTAGCCAGGTGAACATATTTTAAGACATCAGTAGTGAACTTGAGGTTGTTGACCTCCACAGAGTTTGTCTTCAAATGGAGCTGGTGTTAGCCAGAATAATTTTCTCTGCATATGTTAGACACTCTTGCAGCAAGTGTTTAGCTGTTATTTTACCCTTTCCACAGTCCCATTTGATACAATATGTACTTCTTATAAACCTCTTGGCCTCATCAAATGTTATGTCTGTATTAGGTTGGGGTAGTCTTCCACCTTCCTTTGCCAATCTGTCCATCTCTTCATTTCCATGTCTGTTGCAATGGGATGGAATCCATGATACTACAACTTTTTTCATTTCTGACTCAGTCCATTGAGTTCACCTCTAAGGTCTGCTAGTTCTATATTGTTTTTGCTCATCAGTGCTGTGACAACTGACTTCACATCTGTGAAGATAACTACGTGTTTCTCTTTATTTTTTTTTTCCTGGCTGAAGCATTTCAGCTGCAGCTCTCAGGGCCTTTGCCTCTGCTCTAAAATTACGTGAGGATTTTCCAGTTGCAACTGACTGTTTTTCTTTGATTCATTTTTCAGATTCACGACGATTCCTCCACCTCCATTTTCTGTTGAATTTTTTGCTGATCCGTCTGTATATGCATGAGTCCAGGTGTTACTTGGGTATTGTTCTTCTATGTAGTTTCATGTGATTTTCTTTCTTTCTGTTTTATTCTGAGTGTTCTTTTTTCTCAATACCAGGAATATTTTCTCTCAGCTCAGGCAGGGGGCTGCTGTCTACAAGCAGAGAGCCTGTGTGTAATGGGGACAGTTTTGGAGGCTGATATGTTAAGTACAGTATCTTCCCTGATCTTAGTTTTTGCAGTCTCTACAGTTTTTTTCACTTTAGTCTTCCCCTTTCTAGACCATTAAACCGTTGATACATGGGGCGATCTTTCAACCTTCTAAATTGTTCTGCTTGTTGCTGGGTCCTGCTGTCTCTCCTATCCTCTATTGGTTGCAGACCCGTGATTTATTTTATTTCTTGGAGAGAACTCTGTGCATGATGTTTTCTCTTCACTGATATTCACTAACCATGTTTTTGACCATACCTCTAAAAATTGATAAGGCTTTCTGCATTCTGTTTTTGGCTACACTAATTTGTTCTTCACTAGTCCATATAGGTAAGTCATTTGCAAAGGATGAGGTGTGAACCCTGGAAAATTGTTTGAAATGTCATTTAAATGTTTCACATACAGCTCTGTCCAAGTCTCATATGCAGCTTTGTCCATGTCTCACCTACAGTCTCTGTCCATGTCTCACCTACAGTCTCTGTCCATGTCCCACCTACAGTCTCTGCCCAAGTCTCACCTACAGTCTCTATCCATGTCTCACCTACAGTCTCTGTCCATGTCTCACCTACATTCTCTGTCCATGTCCCACCTACAGTCTCTGTCCATGTCTCACCTACAGTCTCTGTCCATGTCTAACCTACAGTCAATGTCCATGTCTCACCTACAGTCTCTGTCCAAGTCTCACCTACAGTCAATGTCCATGTCTCACCTACAGTCTCTGTCCAAGTCTCATATCCAGCTTTGTCAATGTCTCACCTACAGTCTCTATCCATGTCTCACTTACAGTCTCTGTCCATGTCTCGCCTACAGTCTCTGTCCAAGTCTCATATGCAGCTTTGTCAATGTCTCACCTACAGTCTCTATCCATGTCTCACTTACAGTCTCTGTCCATGTCTCACCTACAGTCTCTGTCCATGTCTCACCTACAGTCTCTGTCCATGTCTCACCTACAGTCTTTGCTATGTCTCACCTACAGTCTCTGTCCATGTCTCACCTAAAGTCTCTGTCCATGTCCCACCTACAGTCTCTGTCCATGTCTCACCTACAGTCTCTGTCCATGTCTCACCCACAGTCTCTGTCCAAGTCTCACCTACAGTCTCTGTCCAAGTCTCACCTACAGTCTCTGTCCATGTCTCACCCACAGTCTCTGTCCAAGTCTCACCTACAGTCTCTGTCCAAGTCTCACCTACAGTCTCTGTCCAAGTCTCACCTACAGTCTCTGTCCATGTCTCACCTACAGTCTCTGTCCATGTCTCACCTACAGTCTCTGTCCATGTCTCACCTACAGTCTCTGTCCATGTCCCACCTACAGTCTCTGTCCATGTCTCACCTACAGTCTCTGTCCATATCTCACCTACAGTCTCTGTCCATGTCTCACCTACAGTCTCTGTCCAAGTCTCACCTACAGTCTCTGTCCAAGTCTCACCTACAGTCTCTGTCCAAGTCTCACCTACAGTCTCTGTCCATGTCTCACCTACAGTCTCTGTCCATGTCTCACCTACAGTCTCTGTCCAAGTCTCACCTACAGTCTCTGTCCAAGTCTCACCTACAGTCTCTGTCCAAGTCTCACCTACAGTCTCTGTCCATGTCTCACCTACAGTCTCTGTCCATGTCTCACCTACAGTCTCTGTCCATATCTCACCTACAGTCTCTGTCTCACCTACAGTCTCTGTCTCACCTACAGTTTCTGTCTCACCTACAGTCTCTGTCTCACCTACAGTCTCTGTCTCACCTACAGTCTCTGTCTCACCTACAGTCTCTGTCTCACCTACAGTCTCTGTCCAAGTCTCACCTACAGTCTCTGTCCATATCTCACCTACAGTCTCTGTCTCACCTACAGTCTCTGTCCAAGTCTCATATGCAGCTTTGTCAATGTCTCACCTGCAGTCTCTGTCCATGTCTCACCTACAGTCTCTGTCCATGTCTCACCTACAGTCAATGTCCAAGTCTCACCTACAGTCTCTGTCCATGTCTCACCTACAGTCAATGTCCAAGTCTCACCTACAGTCTCTGTCCAAGTCTCACCTACAGTCTCTGTCCAAGTCTCACCTACAGTCTCTGTCCATGTCTCACCTACAGTCTCTGTCTATGTGTCACAAACAAGATGTTGGCTGTTGCAGGAATGTTCTTCCAGTGGGTGTTATGTAGTGGTATCTTCATGGTGGGTGTGGTAGTGCAGCTGATCCAGCAGTCCACCTTTCACCCATTTGCCATGATTGGGGGTCTTATCTGGACAACAGGTAGTCTCTTCATTTTATCATTGTTGTGTTTATTATTATTTTGCTCATCTTGTAGTTGTTATGTTGTTATTGTGTTGCTCATCTTGTCGTTATGTTGTTATTATGTTGTTCATCGTAGTGTTCTAACTGTGTTAATCATCGTCTTGTCATTATTATATCGTTCATTTTTTCTTTGTAGTGTTATTATTGTGTTGTTTGTGGTCTTTTCATTGTTATGTCATTGTGTCATTCATTTTGTCATTGTTCTTATTCTTCTTTTCTCTACTCCTGGAATGCCTCTAGAACGGGCCCTTCTGTTCGCTTCGTATATGTTACTTTTTAGTGTCTCTGATATTTAGGTGGTCCATCTTCTGCGCGATCGACCTCTGGCTCTGTTACTGCTGTATCTGTATAACATTGCTCTGTGGGGCCCTGTCTGTTGCCAGAATTGTTATATGGCCAAACCATTTGATTTATTGTCTACCTTTAAAGTTCACTAATGGTTCTGTGCCGATTCTCTTCCTGATGTCGTCGAGCTTTCCTTGATACACATAGCATAGTATGTAATTGTTAATGTGTTGTTGATCTTGTCATTGTTATGTTGTTATTGTTTTGTTGATCAGACCTGTATGTGAGACATGGACAGAGTTGTATGTGAGACATCGACAAGTCTGTTTATGAGACATTATGTTATTGTAATGTTCGTCCTGTCCTTGTTATGTTATTATTGTGTTATTCATCTTGTAATTGTTCTGTTATTATTGTGTTGTTAATCTTGTCAAAATAATAATATTATTATGTTGTTCATCTTTTCATTTATGTTATTATTATTTTGTTCATCTTATCATTGTTATGTTATTTTTGTGTTCTTCATCTTGTCTTGTCATTGCTATATTATTACTGTCTGATTGCCTCAGTTGAGCAAATACACAGGGGGCAGGAATGGGTCGACACGAACACCCTCAACAGCAGTTTCCATCAGGTCATTATCACGTTGGGAAGAGAATGTAAGGAGTGTTGTAACAGTGTAGAGGTACAACAAAGGATAGATGGAAAGCCTGGGCTAGATGACGAAGTAGTGAACACCGATGGTTCTGTTCATCGGGGTGTACGATCTGGTTGGTGATTTTTAGCTAGAGTGAAGGGAAAAGTTGTGGCACAACAAAACGGGAATTTTTTTTTTTTTTAAATCAACAACTTCAGTCATGAAGATAGAGGTGAAGGCAATCACTGCAGCTCTGAATTGGATAGCAGAAAACAAATTTAGCAGAAGAATGATTGTGTCTGATTCTCAGTCGGTACTGTGGAAGGTGCAAAATGGACTAATGTGGCATGAGTGAATACCAAGCATTAGTACGTCAGTATTGCAGGCAGTCACGTCTGGGACATGCAAGAGTGCAAGGAAATAAAAGAATGGATTTTCTGGCTACAAAAGTGATAGCTACAGAAGACTTGTACTGGACAAGGGAGGTATTCTGAAGACAATACTTGAACCATACTACAGTCACTATTTGGTTTCTGGGCTGCGAATGCACATGCAACACCTAGCACCACCTAACGAACAGAGACATAAAGTTCGATTTTGCTGTCACTTAATGACACCTTTAGAAACCACACTACATTTTTCTGCCATCCAGTAACCATGTGTGACTTACTTATTGACTTCCCCTCATATGTTACAGGAAACCTGTGTATGGTTCTAATCTTTGTTATATGTTACAGGAAACCTATGTGTGGTTCCAGTCTTTGTTGTATGTTACAGGAAACATATGTGTGGTTCCAATCTTTGTTGTATGTTACAGGAAACCTATGTGTAGTTCCAGTCTTTGTTGTATGTTACAGGAAACCTATGTGTAGTTCCAATCTTTGTTGTATGTTACAGGAAACCTATTTGTAGTTCCAATCTTTGTTATATGTTACAGGAAACCTATGTGTGGTTCCAATCTTTGTTGTATGTTACAGGAAACCTATTTGTAGTTCCAATCTTTGTTGTATGTTACAGGAAACCTATGTGTGGTTCCAATCTTTGTTGTATGTTACAGGAAACCTATGGGTGGTTCCAATCTTTGTTGTATGTTACAGGAAACCTGTGGGTGGTTCCAATCTTTGTTGTATGTTACAGGAAACCTATGTGTGGTTCCAATCTTTGTTGTATGTTACAGGAAACCTATGTGTGGTTCCAGTCTTTGTTGTATGTTACAGGAAACCTATGTGTGGTTCCAATCTTTGTTGTATGTTACAGGAAACCTATGTGTAGTTCCATTCTTTGTTGTATGTTACAGGAAACCTGTGTGTGATTCCAGTCTTTGTTGTATGTTACAGGAAACCTATGTGTGGTTCCAATCTTTGTTGTATGTTACAGGAAACCTATGTGTAGTTCCATTCTTTGTTGTATGTTACAGGAAACCTATGTGTGGTTCCAGTCTTTCTTGTATGTTACAGGAAACCTATGTGTGGTTCCAGTCTTTGTTGTATGTTACAGGAAACCTGTGTGTGGTTCCAATCTTTGTTGTATGTTACAGGAAACCTGTGTGTGGTTCCAGTCTTTGTTGTATGTTACAGGAAACCTGTGTGTGGTTCCAATCTTTGTTGTATGTTACAGGAAACCTGTGTGTAGTTCCATTCTTTGTTGTATGTTACAGGAAACCTGTGTGTGGTTCCAGTCTTTGTTGTATGTTACAGGAAACCTGTGGGTGGTTCCAATCTTTGTTGTATGTTACAGGAAACCTGTGTGTAGTTCCATTCTTTGTTGTATGTTACAGGAAACCTATGTGTGGTTCCAATCTTTGTTGTATGTTACAGGAAACCTGTGTGTGGTTCCAATCTTTGTTGTATGTTACAGGAAACCTGTGTGTGGTTCCAATCTTTGTTGTATGTTACAGGAAACCTGTGTGTGGTTCCAATCTTTGTTGTATGTTACAGGAAACCTGTGGGTGGTTCCAATCTTTGTTGTATGTTACAGGAAACCTGTGTGTGGTTCCAGTCTTTGTTGTATGTTACAGGAAACCTGTGTGTGGTTCCAATCTTTGTTGTATGTTACAGGAAACCTGTGTGTGGTTCCAATCTTTGTTGTATGTTACAGGAAACCTGTGGGTGGTTCCAATCTTTGTTGTATGTTACAGGAAACCTGTGTGTAGTTCCATTCTTTGTTGTATGTTACAGGAAACCTGTGTGTGGTTCCAATCTTTGTTGTATGTTACAGGAAACCTGTGTGTGGTTCCAATCTTTGTTGTATGTTACAGGAAACCTGTGGGTGGTTCCAATCTTTGTTATATGTTACAGGAAACCTGTGGGTGGTTCCAATCTTTGTTATATGTTACAGGAAACCTATGTGTGGTTCCAATCTTTGTTGTATGTTACATGAAACCTATGTGTAGTTCCAGTCTTTGTTGTATGTTACAGGAAACCTATGTGTAGTTCCAATCTTTGTTGTATGTTACATGAAACCTATGTGTAGTTCCAATCTTTGTTGTATGTTACATGAAACCTATGTGTAGTTCCAATCTTTGTTGTATGTTACAGGAAACCTGTGTGTGGTTCCAATCTTTGTTGTATGTTACAGGAAACCTGTGGGTGGTTCCAATCTTTGTTGTATGTTACAGGAAACCTATGTGTGGTTCCAATCTTTGTTGTATGTTACAGGAAACCTATGTGTGGTTCCAGTCTTTGTTGTATGTTACAGGAAACCTATGTGTGGTTCCAATCTTTGTTGTATGTTACAGGAAACCTATGTGTAGTTCCATTCTTTGTTGTATGTTACAGGAAACCTGTGTGTGATTCCAGTCTTTGTTGTATGTTACAGGAAACCTATGTGTGGTTCCAATCTTTGTTGTATGTTACAGGAAACCTATGTGTAGTTCCATTCTTTGTTGTATGTTACAGGAAACCTATGTGTGGTTCCAGTCTTTCTTGTATGTTACAGGAAACCTATGTGTGGTTCCAGTCTTTGTTGTATGTTACAGGAAACCTGTGTGTGGTTTCAATCTTTGTTGTATGTTACAGGAAACCTGTGTGTGGTTCCAGTCTTTGTTGTATGTTACAGGAAACCTGTGTGTGGTTCCAATCTTTGTTGTATGTTACAGGAAACCTGTGTGTAGTTCCATTCTTTGTTGTATGTTACAGGAAACCTGTGTGTGGTTCCAGTCTTTGTTGTATGTTACAGGAAACCTGTGGGTGGTTCCAATCTTTGTTGTATGTTACAGGAAACCTGTGTGTAGTTCCATTCTTTGTTGTATGTTACAGGAAACCTATGTGTGGTTCCAATCTTTGTTGTATGTTACAGGAAACCTGTGTGTGGTTCCAATCTTTGTTGTATGTTACAGGAAACCTGTGTGTGGTTCCAATCTTTGTTGTATGTTACAGGAAACCTGTGTGTGGTTCCAATCTTTGTTGTATGTTACAGGAAACCTGTGGGTGGTTCCAATCTTTGTTGTATGTTACAGGAAACCTGTGTGTGGTTCCAGTCTTTGTTGTATGTTACAGGAAACCTGTGTGTGGTTCCAATCTTTGTTGTATGTTACAGGAAACCTGTGTGTGGTTCCAATCTTTGTTGTATGTTACAGGAAACCTGTGGGTGGTTCCAATCTTTGTTGTATGTTACAGGAAACCTGTGTGTAGTTCCATTCTTTGTTGTATGTTACAGGAAACCTGTGTGTGGTTCCAATCTTTGTTGTATGTTACAGGAAACCTGTGTGTGGTTCCAATCTTTGTTGTATGTTACAGGAAACCTGTGGGTGTTCCAATCTTTGTTATATGTTACAGGAAACCTGTGGGTGGTTCCAATCTTTGTTATATGTTACAGGAAACCTATGTGTGGTTCCAATCTTTGTTGTATGTTACATGAAACCTATGTGTAGTTCCAGTCTTTGTTGTATGTTACAGGAAACCTATGTGTAGTTCCAATCTTTGTTGTATGTTACATGAAACCTATGTGTAGTTCCAATCTTTGTTGTATGTTACATGAAACCTATGTGTAGTTCCAATCTTTGTTGTATGTTACAGGAAACCTGTGTGTGGTTCCAATCTTTGTTGTATGTTACAGGAAACCTGTGGGTGGTTCCAATCTTTGTTGTATGTTACAGGAAACCTGTGTGTGGTTCCAGTCTTTGTTGTATGTTACAGGAAACCTGTGTGTGGTTCCAATCTTTGTTGTATGTTACAGGAAACCTGTGTGTGGTTCCAATCTTTGTTGTATGTTACAGGAAACCTGTGGGTGGTTCCAATCTTTGTTGTATGTTACAGGAAACCTGTGTGTAGTTCCATTCTTTGTTGTATGTTACAGGAAACCTGTGTGTGGTTCCAATCTTTGTTGTATGTTACAGGAAACCTGTGGGTGGTTCCAATCTTTGTTGTATGTTACAGGAAACCTATGTGTGGTTCCAATCTTTGTTGTATGTTACAGGAAACCTATGTGTAGTTCCATTCTTTGTTGTATGTTACAGGAAACCTATGTGTGGTTCTAGTCTTTCTTGTATGTTACAGGAAACCTATGTGTGGTTCCAGTCTTTGTTGTATGTTACAGGAAACCTGTGTGTGGTTCCAATCTTTGTTGTATGTTACAGGAAACCTGTGTGTGGTTCCAGTCTTTGTTGTATGTTACAGGAAACCTATGTGTGGTTCCAGTCTTTCTTGTATGTTACAGGAAACCTATGTGTGGTTCCAGTCTTTGTTGTATGTTACAGGAAACCTGTGTGTGATTCCAGTCTTTGTTGTATGTTACAGGAAACCTATGTGTAGTTCCATTCTTTGTTGTATGTTACAGGAAACCTGTGTGTGGTTCCAGTCTTTGTTGTATGTTACAGGAAACCTGTGGGTGGTTCCAATCTTTGTTATATGTTACAGGAAACCTATGTGTGGTTCCAGTCTTTGTTGTATGTTACAGGAAACCTGTGTGTGGTTCCAATCTTTGTTGTATGTTACAGGAAACCTATGTGTGGTTCCAGTCTTTGTTGTATGTTACAGGAAACCTGTGTGTGGTTCCAATCTTTGTTGTATGTTACAGGAAACCTGTGTGTGGTTCCAATCTTTGTTGTATGTTACAGGAAACCTGTGTGTGGTTCCAGTCTTTGTTGTATGTTACAGGAAACCTGTGTGTGGTTCCAGTCTTTGTTATATGTTACAGGAAACCTGTGTGTGGTTCCAGTCTTTGTTATATGTTACAGGAAACCTGTGGGTGGTTCCAATCTTTGTTATATGTTACAGGAAACCTATGTGTGGTTCCAATCTTTGTTGTATGTTACATGAAACCTATGTGTAGTTCCAATCTTTGTTGTATGTTACAGGAAACCTGTGTGTGGTTCCAATCTTTGTTGTATGTTACAGGAAACCTGTGTGTGGTTCCAGTCTTTGTTGTATGTTACAGGAAACCTGTGTGTGGTTCCAATCTTTGTTGTATGTTACATGAAACCTATGTGTAGTTCCAGTCTTTGTTGTATGTTACAGGAAACCTGTGTGTGGTTCCAATCTTTGTTGTATGTTACAGGAAACCTATGTGTGGTTCCAATCTTTGTTGTATGTTACAGGAAACCTATGTGTGGTTCCAATCTTTGTTGTATGTTACAGGAAACCTATGTGTGGTTCCAATCTTTGTTGTATGTTACAGGAAACCTATGTGTGGTTCCAATCTTTGTTGTATGTTACAGGAAACCTGTGTGTGGTTCCAATATTCAAAACCATTGGTATGGGCTTGGGAATGAGCACCTGGAGCACATTCGGTCTCATTGTGGGATGGGCAACAGGCAGGTAGGAGATATTTTGGTCATCCTGAGTAAACATCTTGTCATCATGACTAAACATCTTGTAATCATGACTAAACATCTTGTAATCATGACTAAACATCTTGTAATCATGACTAAACATCTTGTAATCATGACTATTAAATTATTATATCACTATTAAATTTTGCCAGATTATACTTCCACTATTTTAGCAGATTATACTTTCACTTTTAAATTTTAGCAGATTAAAGTTTCACAATTATATTTTAGCAGATCCTGCCTCCACTACTACATTTTGCCAGATTATGCTTCCATAATTTGTATGTTTTATATTGTTTTTGCCAGACTACCTTCACTATAATATGTTGCTAAATTGTACTTTTGCAATTATGTTTTGCCACAAGATGCACACAGCTACATGTCAGTATGCCCAGCAGAGTCCTTGTTGCTGAATCAAGCATCATAAATCCTAGGCTTAGCAGTAAATGAGACCAACCCACAGGAGATAGCTCTTAGCGTGTGGGGCTCACACAGGAGATAACTCTTAGCATGTGGAGCTCACACAGGGGAAAACTCTTAGCATGTGGTGCTCACACAGGAGATAACTTAGCATGTGGCGCTCACACTGGAGATAACATAGCATGTGGCGCTCACACAGGAGATAACTCTTAGCATGTGGGGCTCACACAGGAGATAACTTAGCATGTGGAGCTCACACAGGAGATAACTCTTAGCATGTGGGGCCCACACAGGAGATAACTCTTAGCGTGTGGGGCTCACACAGGAGATAACTTAGCATGTGGGGCTCACACAGGAGATAACTTAGCATGTGGGGCTCACACAGGAGATAACTCTTAGCATGTAGGGCTCACACAGGAGATTACTCTTAGCGTGTGGGGCTCACACAGGAGATAACTCTTAGCATGTGAGGCTCACACAGGAGATAACTCTTAGCATGTGGGGCTCACACAGGAGATAACTCTTAGCATATGGGGCCCACACAGGAGATAACTTAGCATGTGAGGCTCACACAGGAGATAACTTAGCATGTGGGGCTCACACAGGAGATAACTCTTAGCATATGGGGCCCACACAGGAGATAACTTAGCATGTGAGGCTCACACAGGAGATAACTTAGCATGTGGGGCTCACACAGGAGATAACTTAGCATGTGGAGCTCACACAGGAGATAACTCTTAGCATGTGGTGCTCACACAAGAGATAACTTAGCATGTGGGGCTTACACAGGAGATAACTTAGCATGTGGGGCTCACACAGGAGATAACTCTTAGCATGTGGTGCTCACACAGGAGATAACTTAGCATGTGGGGCTCACACAGGAGATAACTCTTAGCATGTGGTGCTCACACAGGAGATAACTTAGCATGTGGGACTCCTCACACAGGAGATAACTCTCAGCATGTGGGGCTCACACAGGAGATAACTGTCAGCATGTGGGGCTCACACAGGAGATAACTTAGCATGTGGGGCTCACACAGGAGATAACTGTCAGCATGTGGGGCTCACACAGGAGATAACTTAGCATGTGGAGTTCACACAGGAGATAACTGTCAGCATGTGGGGCTCACACAGGAGATAACTGTCAGCATGTGGGGCTCACACAGGAGATAACTGTCAGCATGTGGGGCTCACACAGGAGATAACTGTCAGCATGTGGGGCTCACACAGGAGATAACTCTTAGCGTGTGGTTCTCACACAGGAGATAACTCTTAGCGTGTGGGGCTCACACAGGAGATAACTCTTAGCGTGTGGGTCTCACACAGAATATAACTCTAAGCGTGTGGGTCTCACACAGAAGATAACTAATGTGTGGTTAGTGTGTGAGGCTCATGCAGAAGATAACTCAATGTGTTGGGCTGTAGGATTCGTAAAGTTGTATTTGTTGATGAAGACTTTGGCTGACACATTTGTCTGCGTCTATGCACACCTTCCGATTCCCATCATTGATTTTCCTGGTCTTGTTTTGTAGTGTATTCATTAATTTCTCATGCCAGATTGTACCTGCACCAGGTTTCACCAGATTGCACTTAATCCCTTTTCCTCAGATTTGGCCTGTTTGGTACTGACCCAGATAAAATCACAAACTCTGCTATGAACTATGTGGGTGTGGCACTGGCATTTGGTAGTATCCTGTTGTACGTGTTGGTGAAGAATGAGATCAGTGGCTCCACCGAGGTGGAAGTTGATGTCAGTGACGATGTTTTGATTCATGCAGTAAGTACTTGCCAACCTCTTTTAGTTTGCTAGGCTGTCTCTTACAGCCTCAGAATATCTCTCAGCAAATTCTCAAAGGAATAAAACGTGACTTTGTGACTTATTGAGAGTAAAATAGATAGCAGAAGTAGTCATTGGGAAGTCAAATGTCTTCGTGTTCTCTGACCAAATGAAATATGGGAGAGAACTCTTGTTGATGTGGCTGGAGTTGAAGGGGCTGAGTTCATCAGTAGCAGCTGAAGGAATAATTACAGTCATTGTTTGTCACTGTTTAAACTATGAGACACATTCTATAAATATTATGTGTACAGCACTCACACAGCGACAGTTCCCACACTCAGACACCACACCCAGGCAGCACCCTCACAGACACAGCTCTCACAGATACAACACACATGCATACACGCTTGCTTGCATAAATAACATTCACACAGACACAACACTCATAATACACAACACTTACACAGACGCAGCACTAACAGACACTGCAGTCACACAGACACAGCACACAACACAACTCCCACAGACACAATACTTATTCAGACACAATACACTTGAGACACATAAATACCCAGGCACAACATACAGAGGAACACGCACACTTACAGGGGCAATATATATACACATTCAGGCACAATATGCACACAGACACAGTAGGTACAAATATACACACAAAAACTGGCACAACATTCACAGATTTAACTCTTCCACACATAACACAATCTTAACATACATAATGCTGACAGACCCAACATACAGAGACACACGTACACTCACAGACACAACATTTACACACACACTTTCCACATACATAGGGTAAAAACACACTCGCAGACTCCACAAACTAACAGACACAAGACATACACCACATACACACAGGTTGACACATGCACAGACATGCACTGCTGTCATACAGAAAAAGAAATATACACACACACAAACACAACAATCAGGCCGACACAATATTCACACACACAAGCATACACAACATGCACATAGACACAGTGCTCACAAAAGACACAACACTCATAGACACAATAATCGCACAAGACACAACACTCACATAAGACACAACATTCACAGACACAACATTCATACAAGTTACAACACTCATTAACATAGAACTCACAAACACATACTTTAACAGACAGAATACACACAGACACAGCATTCATTTCCACAATACTCACACAGACACAACACATACTCTAACAGACAGAACACACACAGACAAAGAATGTGTAACTTTGTTGGTGTTGTTAGGACAACAATGCTGGTGTTGTTAGGACAACAATGCTGGTGTTGTTAGAACAACAATGCTGGTGTTGTTAGGACAACAATGCTGGTGTTGTTAGGACAACAATGCTGGTGTTGTTAGGACAACAATGCTGGTGTTGACTTGTTCTACTTGTCTGCTCTTATGCATGCCTCATCCAAGCAAGACAGTCTGGACACACACATGTTTATTCAAAGCAATATGGTAACGTTGAATTGGTTTATTGTGGCACAACAATAAATTATTCCATCAAAGTCCAAAGTTCTCCCTAGTCATTGACACATGCTCACGACAGCCTCCCACGACAGCCTCCCACGACAGCCTTCCACGACAGCCTCCCACGACAAGACAACGGTTAAACAATGGTTGCAGTTACCTACCAGTCAGGAAGTTCCATTAGAACAGAAAATGACTTCTGAATCATCATAACAATGTTCACATAACATTAGATGTTGTCACTTAGACTCAGTTCTCCCCAGGCACTCAAGCTTTACAAACGCTGGTCCTCTAGTTTCACAATGACGTTCACCTAACTCGTACCATCAAGCAACCTTTCTCTCACGCGGTCAAAACACAACTGACTCTAACTACTCTCTTTGTTCAAACCTTCCGTTCCAGTCTCATGCTTTTCCTATAGGTTTATACTTTAAAGGTTTGTGATTACTTTAATGTAATGATATGAATTACCTGCTAATCATTCTGGGTGTTGCTTATTGTTTCCCTTTACCTAGGTTTAACATGATTTCCCCTTGCAACATCACCAGTCGTTGTACCCAGTGAGCACTATATACCTTAATGGGATCAATACATCAGGCACTCTCTTTCAAGTGCGGAAGACCATATAGGCTCTGCGCATTACCCATACTATCCCACAGTCTGCCTAAAGACAGAACAACACCCCAGGCACCCCCAAGATTTGGTGCGGAAGTCCATAACAGCTATGGAATAGAAATGTAAAACCTGCAAACTCCCTCCCTTACTATATGTACTCACTGGGCCAGTCCCACTGGGGTACGTCTCAATAAGCTCTTCATGCTTCCCCACCATGAAGCTTGACCCAATTCCCATAATTTTAATTGTCTTGTGTGAGTGTTGTGTCTTGAGTGTGGGGTCTATGAGTTGTTCACCCTTATCTGAGTAGACTAGGCACCTGGTACACAACATCTACCTCTGCTGTTACTCTATGAATGACTTGATGGAACTAACCCCTATGACAAAGATGGATAAACAACACCACTCAGTGTGGATTACACATAAAACCCTCTCACTGTTGAGCAGTTGAAATCAGACCAAGTGATTACGCTGCTTGATCAGTTCATTATCCTCTTAATGAATTCATTATCATTCTTACTTGGGTCATTATCCATTATCCTCATTATTGACTCCATAATTACATCATTCCCCCCCCCCCCCCCCCACCCCTCCACCCCCAAACTGAACAGTTATATTTTAAAAAAAACTATAAAACGAAAATCATCAATTTTTATTTAATTTCTCAGGAGACATCATCGATTAACAACAGCATCCAGTCTTCAGCTGACGGAAGCAACATCATTGTCTTCAAAAGATCTTCAGTGAGTGCACATCTAGGTCATGTTTCTGTGTGCAAAGTTGTTTTGATATTCATAAAAGTCTTAAATACATTTGTGAGTGCACCATCTAGGTCATGTTTTTGTGTAGAAAGTTGTTTTGATATTCATAAAAGTCTTCAATACATTTTTGAGTGCACATCCAGGACCTGTTTTGTGTAGAAAGTTGTTTTTATATTCATGAAACAGTATTGTAGGTTGCGATAGATAAAACAATGTATAGTCTTCATCTCAGGTTCATCATCATCATGTGCCCTGCCAGTTGGCATAGGCGCTGGTGCATCTGAACAGATCACAATCCCTGGTTGCTTGGAACAGCTTTCTTGTGGGGATGGAGAGTGCTAAGAAAGGACTTTCCTTAAAAATTAGGAAAACAGAAGTATTGGTCATATCAAAGAAGAAGATAATTCCATGTTGTGATATCTCAATTGAAGGGAAAAGGCTTAAACAAATCAATAAATTCAAATATCTGGGAACAATCACATCATATGGTGGAAAATGTGTGACAGAGATTAAAAGCAAAATAGTTCAAGCAAAGGCACCATTTCAGAAAATGAAAAATATCTTATTCAATAAGTAGCCATCATTTAATGTCAGAAAGAGAGTGCTAAAGATTAAACAGTGTATAGTCTCCATCTCAAGTTGTGACAGATTAAACAGTGTATAGTCTCCGTCTCAGATTATGAAAGATTAAATAGTGTATAGTCTATGTCTCAGATTATGAAAGATTAAATAGTGTATAGTCTATGTCTCAGATTATGAGAGATTAAATAGTGTATAGTCTATGTCTCAGATTATGAAAGATTAAACAGTGTATAGTCTATGTCTCAGGTTATGACAGATTAAACAGTGTATAGTCTATGTCTCAGGTTATGACAGATTAAACAGTGTATAGTCTATGTCTCAGGTTATGACAGATTAAACAGTGTATAGTCTATGTCTCAGGTTATGACAGATTAAACAGTGTATAGTCTATGTCTCAGATTATGACAGATTAAACAGTGTATAGTCTATGTCTCAGGTTATGACAGATTAAACAGTGTATAGTCTATGTCTCAGGTTATGACAGATTAAATAGTGTATAGTCTCCGTTTCAGGTTATGACAGATTAAACAGTGTATAGTCTATGTCTCAGATTATGACAGATTAAACAGTGTATAGTCTATGTCTCAGGTTGTGACAGATTAAACAGTGTATAGTCTATGTCTCAGGTTATGACAGATTAAACAGTGTATAGTCTATGTCTCAGGTTATGACAGATTAAACAGTGTATAGTCTATGTCTCAGGTTATGACAGATTAAACAGTGTATAGTCTATGTCTCAGGTTATGACAGATTAAACAGTGTATAGTCTATGTCTCAGATTATGACAGATTAAACAGTGTATAGTCTATGTCTCAGGTTATGACAGATTAAACAGTGTATAGTCTATGTCTCAGGTTATGACAGATTAAATAGTGTATAGTCTCCGTTTCAGGTTATGACAGATTAAACAGTGTATAGTCTATGTCTCAGATTATGACAGATTAAACAGTGTATAGTCTATGTCTCAGGTTATGACAGATTAAACAGTGTATAGTCTATGTCTCAGGTTATGACAGATGGGGATTAAATAGTGTATAGTCTCCGTTTCAGGTTATGACAGATTAAACAGTGTATAGTCTATGTCTCAGATTATGACAGATTAAACAGTGTATAGTCTATGTCTCAGGTTGTGACAGATTAAACAGTGTATAGTCTATGTCTCAGGTTATGACAGATTAAACAGTGTATAGTCTCCGTCTCAGATTATGACAGATTAAACAGTGTATAGTCTATGTCTCAGATTATGACAGATTAAACAGTGTATAGTCTATGTCTCAGGTTGTGACAGATTTAATAGTGTATAGTCTCCGTCTCAGGTTGTGACAGATTAAACAGTGTATAGTCTATGTCTCAGGTTATGACAGATTAAATTATGTCATTTAGTCCATGACAGGCAGAGGAAGTCCAAGAAAACAATAATCTCCTTCTCTTCCTTTTCTCTAAGCCCAGGTCTTTCAGTGTCAGGTTTTGAAGAGACATCTCATGCTGGTCTGCCTTTCAGTGTCAGGTTTTGAAGAGACATCTCATGCTGGTCTGCCTTTCAGTGTCAGGTTTTGAAGAGACATCTCATGCTGGTCTGCCTTTCAGTGTCAGGTTTTGAAGAGGCATCTCGTGCTGGTCTGCCTTTCAGCGTCAGGTTTTGAAGAGTCATCTCGTGGTTGTGCCACATAAACACTGCTATTTACAGACTTGATATTCCGTCTGTCCACCACTTTTTTTTTTATTGAGTTTTATTGAATCTATTCTTTGACCTTCATATTTACAGTGGGTCAATGTTTCTGTTTCAGGACCCAGCCTGCACAAGTCCCGACATTCAAGGGTCTGATGACCGCATGTACATCGAGAATCTGTCACCAGTCAAGAAGAAAATCATGTAGGGAAGGCAGCCATGTTTGTGTGTGCTAACTCTTGTGTTCAGTTTCACATGTTCTAAAACAGGGGTTAAGATGGTTGTGAGGGATGCATAGAGCTGACTGTCTTGTACTTGTATCAGACAGTGGATTGAGTGATGCACAGAGCTGACTATCTTGTGCTTATATCAGACAGTGGACCAAGAAATGAACATCAGGATAGGTAAAGCAGCAACAACAATGAGCAAATTGACAAAGAGAGTTTGGGAGAACAGAAAGCTCACGATTAAAACAAAAATGTTGTCTATCATGCTTGTGTTCTCAGCACTCTGCTTTATGGCAGTGAAACTTGGTCATCCTATTTGCACCAAGAAAGGCGGCTTAATAGCTTTCACGTTTGATGCCAAAGAAGAATACTTGGCATTAAGTGGCAGGGCAAAATCACAAACACTGAGGTACTGGAAAGAGCAGGTACTACAACAGTCTTTTCCATGCTCAGTCTACGAAGGCTCAGGTGGCTGGGTCACACCTGGAGAATGGAGGATGGCAGAGTCCCTAACGACCTCCTTTATGGTGAATTAAAGACAGGACGAAGATGTTGAGGCCGACCTCTACTACGTTATAAAGATGTGCAAGCGGGACATGAATGATACAGGTATTAAGGTGGACTCATGGGAACAAAATGCCATGGACCGTGTTGTGTGGAAAGGGCATATCAGGAAAGGAATGAGAGCTAAGCATCTGAATAAAAACTGATTAAACACAAATGTTGACAACAATGGTCCTGAGATTCCATGCTATCATTGTGAAAGACACGGGTGGGTTTTGCTAATCACACTCGCCATCACCACGGGCTGTGAGTCTCATGCTTCCTCATAGCGCAATATAACACTATCGTCGGGAAAGACGGAAAGGTGCCAATTGGTATCTTATTGTATGTTGCTGTATATTATTTCTGATTGTGTGTTGTTGTTTCCTATTGTATTGTGTATCCTATTGTATGTTATTGTATGTAAAGTATTTTGTCTTATTGTGTGTTATTGTTTCCTATTGTGTGTTGCTCTATCTTATTGTATATTGTATCTTATTATGTATTGTATCTTATTGTGTGTTGGATCTTATTATATATTGTATCTTATTGTATGTTGTATCTCATTGTATGTTGGATCTTATTGTGTGTTGGATCTTATTGTGTGCTGTTGTATCTTATTGTTTGTAGTATCTTATTGTATATTGTAAATTATTGTGTTTTGTTGTATCTTATTGTGTGTTGCTATATTTAATTGTATATTGTATTTTGTTATTTGTTGCTGTATCTTATTGTATGTTGTTGTATCCTATTGTGTATTGCTGTATCTTATTGTGTTTTGTTGTATCTTATTGTGTGTTGCTATATTTAATTGTATATTGTATTTTGTTATTTGTTGCTGTATCTTATTGTATGTTGTTGTATCCTATTGTGTATTGCTGTATCTTATTGTGTGTATCATATTGTGTGCTGTTGTATCTTATTGTGTGCTGTTGTATCTTATTGTGTGCTGTTGTATCTTATTGTGTGCTGTTGTATCTTATTGTATGCTGTTGTATCTTATTGTGCATTGTTGTATCTTAGTGTAAACTGTTGTATCTTATTGTGCATTGTTGTATCTTATTTTGCATTTTTGTATCTTATTGTGCATTGTTGTATCTTATTGTGTGCTGTTGTATCTTATTGTGTGCTGTTGTATCTTATTGTGTGCTGTTGTATCTTGTTGTATGCTGTTGTATCTTATTGTGCATTGTTGTATCTTAGTGTAAACTGTTGTATCTTATTTTGCATTTTTGTATCTTATTGTGCATTGCTGTATCTTATTTTGCATTTTTGTATCTTATTGTGCATTGTTGTATCTTATTTTGCATTTTTGTATCTTATTGTGTGCTGTTGTATCTTATTGTGCATTGTTGTATCTTATTGTGTGCTGTTGTATCCTATTGTGTGTGACTTTACTAGAGTACATTCTTACATGTGACTTGTTTACTAGAAGAAAGGAGCTGACTAGAGGAAATACTCATCTGTAATTGGTTTATTAGAAGAAAGAGTTTACCGAAGGAAAGAGTTTACACAAGGAAAATGTTTACTGAAGGGACTTATTTTTTATTTTTTAAACTAGAAGAAACAGTTTACCCGGTGAAAGAGTTTACTAGAGACAAGAGTTTACTAATGGGAGAGTTTACTAGAAGAGTCTATTTGTGGTTTGTTTACAAACAGAAGATTATGTACATAACTATGTCAGTTAAGATGAGAAAGAGTTGATGTTATTGCATCCTCAAAATAAACTTTTACTTTCACGAGTGTTTTTCTCATTTCTGCTTCAAGAGGCACAGCTCTGGCCATTTTTTCTGGCATCTTGTACGGCGTCCAGTTCACGCCAGCAACGTATGTACAAGAAAATTACGTAGGCGCTAGCAAAAATGGTTGGTTTCATTTTATAAATGTTTTTTTTTTCTAATTTAAATTTTTTTTTCATTTTTGTATTTGTGTCTTCTCATATAGTGTGTGGAGAACTTGCTAAATCATTCTCCCATCATTGGTACATATAGTATGTGGAGAACTTGCTAAATCATTCTCCGATCATTGGTACATATAGTGTGTGGAGAACTTGCTAAATCTTTCTCCCATCATTGTTACATATAGTGTGTGGAGAACTTGCTAAATCATTCTCCCATCATTGTTACATATAGTGTGTGGAGAACTTGCTAAATCATTCTCCCATCATTGTTACATTTAGTGTGTGGAGAACTTGCTAAATCATTCTCCCATCATTAGTACATATAGTGTGTGGAGAACTTGCTAAATCATTCTCCCATCATTGTTACATATAGTGTGTGGAGAACTTGCTAAATCATTCTCCCATCATTGGTACAAATAGTGTGTGGAGAACTTGCTAAATCTTTCTCCCATCATTGTTACATATAGTGTGTGGAGAACTTGCTAAATCTTTCTCCCATCATTGGTACATATAGTGTGTGGAGAACTTGCTAAATCATTCTCCCATCATTGTTACATATAGTGTGTTGACAACTTGCTAAATCATTCTCCCATCATTGGTACATATAGTGTGTGGAGAACTTGCTAAATCTTTCTCCCACCATTGTTACATATAGTGTGTGGACAACTTGCTAAATCATTCTCCCATCATTGGTACATATAGTGTGTGGAAAACGCTAAATCTTTCTCCCATCATTGGTATGTAGTGTGTGGAGAACTTGCTAAATCATTCTCCCATCATTGTTACATATAGTGTGTGGAGAACTTGCTAAATCATTCTCCCATCATTGTTACATATAGTGTGTGGAGAACTTGCTAAATCATTCTCCCATCATTGTTACATATAGTGTGTGGAGAACTTGCTAAATCATTCTCCCATCATTGTTACATATAGTGTGTGGAGAACTTGCTAAATCATTCTCCCATCATTGTTACATATAGTGTGTGGAGAACTTGCTAAATCTTTCTCCCATCATTGTTACATATAGTGTGTGGAGAACTTGCTAAATCTTTCTCCCATCATTGGTACATATAGTGTGTGGAGAACTTGCTAAATCATTCTCCCATCATTGTTACATATAGTGTGTTGACAACTTGCTAAATCATTCTCCCATCATTGGTACATATAGTGTGTGGAGAACTTGCTAAATCTTTCTCCCACCATTGTTACATATAGTGTGTGGACAACTTGCTAAATCATTCTCCCATCATTGGTACATATAGTGTGTGGAAAACTTGCTAAATCTTTCTCCCATCATTGGTATGTAGTGTGTGGAGAACTTGCTAAATCATTCTCCCATCATTGGTACATATAGTGTGTGGAGAACTTGCTAAATCATTCTCCCATCATTGGTACAAATAGTGTGTGGAGAACTTGCTAAATCATTCTCCCATCATTGGTACATATAGTGTGTGGAGAACTTGCTAAATCATTCTCCCATCATTGGTACATATAGTGTGTGGAGAACTTGCTAAATCATTCTCCCATCATTGTTACATATAGTGTGTGGAGAACTTGCTAAATCATTCTCCCATCATTGTTACATATAGTATGTGGAGAACTTGCTAAATCATTCTCCCATCATTGTTACATATAGTGTGTGGAGAACTTGCTAAATCTTTCTCCCATCATTAGTACATATAGTGTGTGGAGAACTTGCTAAATCTTTCTCCCATCATATGTGTATGGCAAACTAGCTTAATCATTGTTACATATAAGTATGGCAAACTAGCTAAATCATTCTCCCATCACTGGGTTTGTGTGGGTATGTGAGTGTCTGTCATGCATTTGTGTGTGAGGAAGCGAGCGTGGGCATGTATTTTACCACCCATGCTTTTGTGTTTTTGCTTTTTATTCATAATATGCATATTATTACATGAACATAACATGCTTTATTATTTTTAAAAAAAATACAAATGCTGTGTGGAAGATGGATGTTTGGAAGTGCCGAATGTAAGACAGGCCTGCGTGCCCAATTAGTGGCCCTTAGAAAATAAAGTTTGCTTGTTTGTTCATTCCCCTTATTGATGCATGTGTGAGGAGAACTAGCTAAATTATTGTCCCCTAATTAATACATGTGTGAGGAGAACTAGCTAAATTATTTTCCCCTATTTAATGCATGTGTGAGGAGAGCTAGCTAAATTATTTTCCCCTAATTAATACATGTGTGAGGAGAACTAGCTAAATTATTTTCCCCTAATTAATACATGTGTGGGGAGAACTAGCTAAATTATTTTCCCCTAATTGATACATGTGTGGGGAGAACTAGCTAAATTATTTTCCCCTAATTGGTGAATGTGTGGGGGAGAACTACATAAATTATTTTCTCCTAATTGGTGAATGTGTGGAGAAAACTAGATAAATCATTTTCTTCTTATTGATGTATGTGTGGGGAGACTAAAATCATTTTCCTCTTTTTGATGCGTGTGAGGGGAGACAGTTAAATCATTTTCCTCTTATTGATACATCTGTGGGGAGACTAGTTAAATCACTTTCCTCTTATTGATGCGTGTGAGGGGAAACAGTTAAATCATTTTCCTCTTATTGATACATCTGTGGGGAAACTAGTTAAATCACTTTCCTCTTATTGATGCGTGTGAGGGGAAACAATTAAATCAGTTTCTCCTGTTATTGATTCATGTGTGGGGAGACTAGTTAAATCATTCTCCTGTTATTGATGCATGTGTGGGGAGACTAGTTAAATCATTCTCCTGTTATTGATGCATGTGTGGGGAGACTAGTTGAATCATTCTCCTGTTATTGATGCATGTGTGGGGAGAACTAGCTAAATCAGTTTCTCCTGACAATATAGACTGTGTACATGCACGGGTGTCAGTGAATGAGAACCTCACACACATTGTCACTGATACATCCATCACTGCGACAGTGAGTCTTAGATCTGGTTAATGTTAGCACCCATAGAAGGTTACAGTTGCTTGCACCCCTAACCTAATGTTGTCTGTCTGCCCTAGGTCTAGACTATGTGTTCACACACTTCTGTGGCATCTATGCCACCAGCTGTGTCTACCTGTTTCTCTATTGTGCTGTCAAGGCAAACAAGCCCAAGGTAATGTCTGTGTGAAACCTGGATCTACAGGTAATGTTCTCAGTGTCTGTGTGAAACCTGGATCTACAGGTAATGTTCTCAGTGTCTGTGTGAAACCTGGATCTACAGGTGATGTTCTCAGTGTCTGTGTGAAACCTGGATCTACAGGTGATGTTCTCAGTGTCTGTGTGTGAAACCTGGATCTACAGGTAATGTTCTCAGTGTCTGTGTGTGAAACCTGGATCTACAGGTGATGTTCTCAGTGTCTGTGTAAAACCTGGATCTACAGGTGATGTTCTCAGTGTCTGTGTGAAACCTGGATCTACAGGTAATGTTCTCAGTGTCTGTGTAAAACCTGGATCTACAGGTAATGTTCTCAGTGTCTGTGTGAAACCTGGATCTACAGGTAGTGTTCTCAGTGTCTGTGTGAAACCTGGATCTACAGGTGATGTTCTCAGTGTCTGTGTAAAACCTGGATCTACAGGTGATGTTCTCAGTGTCTGTGTAAAACCTGGCTCTACAGGTGATGTTCTCAGTGTCTGTGTAACCTGGATCTACAGGTAATGTTCTCAGTGTCTGTGTGTGTAACCTGGATCTACAGGTAATGTTCTCAGTGTCTGTGTGAAACCTGGATCTACAGGTGATGTTCTCAGTGTCTGTCTGTAAAACCTGGATCTACAGGTAATGTTCTCAGTGTCTGTGTGTGAAACCTGGATCTACAGGTAATGTTCTCATTGTCTGTGTGTAAAACCTGGATCTACAGGTAATGTTCTCAGTGTCTGTAAAACCTGGATCTACAGGTAATGTTCTCAGTGTCTGTGTAAAACCTGGATCTACAGGTAATGTTCTCAGTGTCTGTGTAACCTGGATCTACAGGTAATGTTCTCAGTGTCTGTGTAAAACCTGGATCTACAGGTGATGTTCTCAGTGTCTGTGTAACCTGGATCTACAGGTAATGTTCTCAGTGTCTGTGTGTGAAACCTGGATCTACAGGTAATGTTCTCAGTGTCTGTGTAAAACCTGGATCTACAGGTAATGTTCTCAGTGTCTGTGTAAAACCTGGATCTACAGGTAATATTCTCAGTGTCTGTGTAACCTGGATCTACAGGTAATGTTCTCAGTGTCTGTGTGTGTAACCTGGATCTACAGGTAATTTTCTCAGTTTCTGTGTAACCTGGATCTACAGGTAATGTTCCCAGTGTCTGTGTAACCTGGATCTACAGGTAATGTTCTCAGTGTCTGTGTGTGAAACCTGGATCTACAGGTAATGTTCTCATTGTCTGTGTGTAAAACCTGGATCTACAGGTAATGTTCTCAGTGTCTGTAAAACCTGGATCTACAGGTAATGTTCTCAGTGTCTCTGTGTGAAACCTGGATCTACAGGTAATGTTCTCAGTGTCTGTGTGTGAAACCTGGATCTACAGGTGATGTTCTCAGTGTCTGTGTGAAACCTGAATCTACAGGTAATGTTCTCAGTGTCTGTGTAAAACCTGGATCTACAGGTAATGTTCTCAGTGTCTGTGTAAAACCTGGATCTACAGGTAATGTTCTCAGTGTCTGTGTAACCTGGATCTACAGGTAATGTTCTCAGTGTCTGTGTGTAAAACCTGGATCTACAGGTAATGTTCTCAGTGTCTGTGTAAAACCTGGATCTACAGGTAATGTTCTCAGTGTCTGTGTAAAACCTGGATCTACAGGTAATGTTCTCAGTGTCTGTGTGTAAAACCTGGATCTACAGGTAATGTTCTCAGTGTCTGTGAAACCTGGATCTACAGGTAATGTTCTCAGTGTCTGTGTGAAACCTGGATCTACAGGTAATGTTCTCAGTGTCTCTGTGAAACCTGGATCTACAGGTAATGTTCTCAGTGTCTGTGAAACCTGGATCTACAGGTAATGTTCTCAGTGTCTGTGTGTAAAACCTGGATCTACAGGTAATGTTCTCAGTGTCTGTGTGTAAAACCTGGATCTACAGGTAATGTTCTCCCTGTCTCTGTGTGAAACCTGGATCTACAGGTGATGTTCTCAGTGTCTGTGTGAAACCTGGATCTACAGGTGATGTTCTCAGTGTCTGTGTAAAACCTGGATCTACAGGTAATGTTCTCAGTGTCTGTGAAACCTGGATCTACAGGTAATGTTCTCATTGTCTGTGTGTGAAACCTGGATCTACAGGTGATGTTCTCAGTGTCTGTGAAACCTGGATCTACAGGTAATGTTCTCAGTGTCTGTGAAACCTGGATCTACAGGTGATGTTCTCAGTGTCTGTGTGTGAAACCTGGATCTACAGGTGATGTTCTCAGTGTCTGTGTGAAACCTGGATCTACAGGTGATGTTCTCAGTGTCTGTGTGAAACCTGGATCTACAGGTGATGTTCTCAGTGTCTGTGTGTAAAACCTGGATCTACAGGTAATGTTCTCAGTGTCTGTGTAACCTGGATCTACAGGTAATGTTCTCAGTGTCTGTAAAACCTGGATCTACAGGTAATGTTCTCAGTGTCTGTGTGAAACCTGGATCTACAGGTAATGTTCTCAGTGTCTGTGAAACCTGGATCTACAGGTAATGTTCTCAGTGTCTGTGAAACCTGGATCTACAGGTAATGTTCTCAGTGTCTGTGAAACCTGGATCTACAGGTAATGTTCTCAGTGTCTGTGAAACCTGGATCTACAGGTAATGTTCTCAGTGTCTGTGAAACCTGGATCTACAGGTAATGTTCTCAGTGTCTGTAAAACCTGGATCTACAGGTAATGTTCTCAGTGTCTGTGAAACCTGGATCTACAGGTAATGTTCTCAGTGTCTGTGAAACCTGGATCTACAGGTGATGTTCTCAGTGTCTGTGTAAAACCTGGATCTACAGGTAATGTTCTCAGTGTCTGTGTGAAACCTGGATCTACAGGTAATGTTCTCAGTGTCTGTGAAACCTGGATCTACAGGTGATGTTCTCAGCGTCTTGACACGCCAGATGAGAGAGCAGATTTTACTGTCACCATTCTCAATGTCCGCTCCTGACCAGCAGCCTAAGGAAGAAGAATTTGTCAACTGGATGTTCTTTGAAATCTCAGGATGCTCTATAATAACTCTGGATGTTCTGTGATAACTCTGGATGTTCTGTGATAACTCTGGATGTTCTGTGATAACACAGGATTTTCTGTGATAACTTGATGTTCTGTGATAACTTGATGTTCTGTCATAACTCTGGGTGTTCTCTAATAACTCTGGGTGTTCTCTGATAACTCTAGATGTTTTCTGATAACTCTGGATGTTTTCTGATAACTCTGTTCTCTGTCAACATTGATGTTCTCTGATAACTCTGGATGTTCTGTGATAACTCTTTGTGTTCTCTGGTAACTCTGGATTTTCTGTAATAACTCTGGGTGTTCTGTGATAACTCTGAGTGTTCTGAGATAACTCTGGATGTTCTGTGATAACTCTGAGTGTTCTGTGATAACTCTGGATGTTCTGTGATAACTCTGGGTGTTCTCTGGTAACTCTAGGTATTCTTTTTCTTTTCTCTACTCCTTTAGTCCCTCACGCCTCATACAAAGTAATGTTCAGTGTCCCTGATATTTCTGCAATCCATTTTCTGCGGGGTCGACCTCTGTTATTGCTGTATCTGTATAACATCACTTCTGTTTTGTCTACATTGATCATCATATCATAATTGTCACATTCTGAGTGGAGTCTGTTCATATATTCTGATGTTGCTGTGATTGCCTGGTCTTCGGTGAAAAACAATTTATTTAATAATTCTCCGAAGTTGTCCCCTTCGTTGATGTTAGCTGATTTGCAAATTTGGTCGACTTATTTGATAAACAGTAGTGATGATAGAACGCACCCCTGTCTGACTCCAGATCTAATGTAGAACTTTTCTGACATTCCTGTATTAGTTCTGACTGCGCATTGGCTGTTCACATATAAACTCTTGCACAATTGAATTTGTTCATTTACTCCATAATCCTGTAGTTCCTTCCATTATTTATTTCTCTTCGCTGGATCAAAAGCTTTCTCCTGGCCTACGAATGCCAGTGTAATTCTTTATTGAACTCTACCCTCCTTTCTAAGCTTCTAAGCTGCATCAGTACAGCGTCTGTTCTTCCGAAATCCCATTTGCCCTTCACTGAGTTGTGGTTCGATGATAGGCTGTAACTCTGGGTGTTCTTTGATAACTCTAGGTGTTCTCTGATAACTCTGATGTTCTCTGTCAACATTGATGTTCTCTGATAACTTTGGGTGTTCTGTGATAACTCTAGATGTTCTCTGAAAACTCTGGGTGTTCTCTGATATCTGTGATGTTCTTTGATTAGTAAGCAGTAAGGAGTTATCATCACAGGACTCTTTACAAATCTGTAGGTACTCATTTCTACTTCTCAAAACCTTCACGGGAGTAAACAACTGATTATGCCTTTTCTGTGTTGATTAATCTTCTTCTTCTTCGCGTTCACCAGCTGTACACTCTGGCAGAAAGTTCTGGTTGCTTGTCCACTACTGAACTGCAGTCCTGCTCCAGAACCTGAGTGTTGCGTGTGCATCAGTTTTACAGATCTCATTCTCTTGAATACAGACTGTTGGTTCCTTGCCTCTCCGGCAGATGCACTCTGACTTCAAAGGAAGCTCCCCAATTAGTCGACTCTTACGACATGCTTTTGAGGAGGCAGTGGGTCTATTCTTGTTTTCTCCACAATGGGGTTCCGGAACCCACACGGGGGAGGTTGATTAATGAAACGTCTTGTCCCCTTAGTGAAATATTCATTTCTTGCGGCTCCAGGCTCCATGTCCATCAACCTAGTCAGGGATGTGACGTGCTCGTCGTCACGGTAAGTGCTATACAGGGCATTGATAACATCACTTCTGTCCAGTACTGGACCAGCCATAGCAACTGCAGTGTCTGCAAGATAATCTGCACTCTCGTTCCCTTGAACACCCCGATTCTCCTGCACAAAGATGAAACTTAGGGCAGCCATTCATAAAGTGCTTAGTGTTGCAGTCCATTGTTGTCTGATAAAACCAGCCTGGATTTTTTTCAAGTGAATGCATCGAGTCACTAAGTATGTACACGTGTGTGAACTCTTAAGTGCCAAGCCATGCTAATGCCCTTGTTACAGCCATAGCCTCCATTGTAAGGCTACTAGTTGTTACTGCGAAGGCACCATTAATCTCCCTAATGGTTTCCCCCTTTGAGCTTACCGTGAATGCCCATGCACTTCACTTGCCCCGAATTCCATCTGTGTAAACTGTAGCATCACCTTCATCAGTGTTTTCATCAAGCAGTGTTCTGACTAAAGTGTCCACACGTCCAGGCATCTGCTCTCTACAGCTTCCATCAAGAGTGATAGGGACTGTGATGTTTGCAGCAGGAGGCATGGGTATCATCAAGCAGTGTTCTGACTAAAGTGTCCACATAGCCAGGCATCTGCTCTCTACAGCTTCCATCAAGAGTGATAGGGACTGTGATGGTAATGTTTGGAGCAAGAGGCATGGGTATCATCAAGCAGTTCTGACTAAAGTGTCCACACGGCCAGGCATCTGCTTTCTACAGCTTCCATCAAGCAGTTCTTACTAAAGTGTCCACACGGCCAGGCATCTGCTCTCTACAGCTTCCATCAAGAGTGATAGGGACTGTGATGGTAATGTTTGGAGCAGGAGGCATGGGTATCCATTCATTTCCAAAATTAATGTCAGTAAGGCGGCCAATATGTTCAGTGGTTTCCTCAGTGCAACCCATCCAGGATTTGCCTTGTTTTATTTTTTTGTGTGTTTGTTTGTGTGGCTTGAATAATTTCCTCATGAAGTGGGTGTCAATGGTCTGACTTCACTTTGAGTAAAGCAATGGCTCTGGATAGATTGATTCTGTTTTCCATTGTGGGGAAATCCAAGAGGTATCGCATGGATTTACAGGAGGTGTCTCTAGTGCATCCGAGAATAATACGCATTGCCTCATTTTCATTTTCTTTCGTCTGTTCGTCAGATGTTCTGTGATATCTCTGGATGTTGTCTGATATCTCTGGATGTTGTCTGATATCTCTGGATGTTGTCTGATAACTCTGGATGTTGTCTTATAGCTCTTGGTGTTGTTTGAAAACCCTGGATATTGTCTGATAATTGTGGGTGTTGTCTGATAACTCTAGATGTTGTCTGATAACTCTGGGTGTTGTCTGATAACTCTTGCTGTTGTCTGATAACTCTAGATATTGTATGATAACTCTTATACTCTTTGATATTTTAGATGTTCTGTGATAATGCTGATATTCTCTGATATCTCAGATGTTTTCTGATATCTTGGATGTTCTATGATAACATTGATGTTTCCTTTTATTCCAGGTTTACCCAGAGGTGATCCTTCCTGGCATTGTGTCTGGGATCATGTGGGCAATAGCCACTTCCTGCTGGTTCATCGCCAATGCTGAGATCTCCGAAGCTGTCTCATTTCCTATTGTTAGCACGGCCCCGGCAGCCATAGCTTCACTCTTCTGGGGGGTCATTGTGTTTCATGAAATCAAGGTAACATTGGTTGCAGCTTGTTTTATCCTCAACTCAAAATCTACATTATGGCAGTCCACCAACTACATGTAATCATTGTGGAATAAACTTGTGGATCCATGTAAATAGACTGTAAACAAATGATGAATAGATTGTAAAATAGACTGGTGGATATATTTAAAATAGACTGGTGGATTGATTGTAAAATAGACTGGTGGATAGATTGTAAAATAAACAGGTGGATGGATTGTACTATAGACTGGTGGATAGACTGTAAAATAAACAGGTGGATGGATTGTATTATAGACTGGTGGATAGATTGTAAAATAGATTGATGATAAATCTATATTAATAAAAATGTTAATTTCCCGATGTTGTAACCCCTAAACTCGGAAACTACTGAACTGATTGCTTTCAGATTTGCACACAACGTTGCCTTTGACTACAGGCATGATTTTTTTTTCAGACAATCGCACAAACCATGAACACTGTAGCTCCAGCAACGGTCAAATCATTATTTGTTTCCTTGCTGGCCCGGATTTCTTTTGAGTTAATTGGCTATTTTAGGCTGCCGAGCTCTTATTGAACTTTCCATTACTATATAATCTCATTTCCACTATCTGTTCGAGTGTTTGGTATCAGGGTTGGTAACTGTTCTGCTTATCATGCGGGTGACCCGCGTTCGAATCCCCGCAAAGTGATATATTTTTTTTTAGCCCCTAACTGGGCGGCTGGTACGTTGTGTTGTGGTTTAGGGCTAGGCTACGATATCTACACCTTTTTCGGTTTTGGTGTTTACAGCTATCCTGCGACAGCGGCGACGTGATGCTCAATGGTCATGTCACGGGTTTTCTTCGTTCGTCCTCTAGAGGGCCGTTGGCACGTTGTGTTGTGGTTTACAGCTAGGCTGCAATATCTGACCTAAACTCTTCAGTCTTCGGTAGTATGGTTTTAAGTATTCCATCCTTCACTCGGGTGACCGGTGTTCGATTCCCCGCTGGGTGATAATTGTTCTTTTTCCCTTAAAAGGGTGGTTGCTACGTTGTGTTGTGGGTTAGGTTACAGCTAGGCTGCAATATCTGTTTCTATCACCTTAAGACATCCAATCTCGGTTAAGTCACAATAATCCTCCCCACGACGCTTCTCGATCAAAAACTATTCCGCGATGACAGAAACTGTTACCTAAGACGGCTTACAGTCCAGTTTAGTTTGGGTGAAAACGGATGCCAAGGTCAGTTAAAAATCGCTTCATCGGAGAGGGACAGATGACAGGTGCGGGGTATTTTTCTCCGCTATTCATGAGTATAGTGTACTTTTTACTGTGGGTTCCATCATTGGTTACGTGATGAAGTTTTTTTTTAATTTCTGTGTCGGGGGCAACATTAAACTAAATAGTCCGTGGCGACAGCATGCGGCGCTAACTCCTCTTTTCTACACCAACCTACATAGACTGTAGTGACAGTTGTTGTTGCTGTTTTTGTTGTTGTGGTGGTGGTAGTAGTTGCAGTAGTACTGGTACTTGATGGGTGATGTGGTAGCTGTTACACTGGCTACATTTACTTCTCTGTACAAGTTAATGCTACCTATTTAAGTCTGGGTGGACACGGATGCGAAGCTCAATTGAGTTACAATATTTCGTCACACGGTGACTTTCACATCCTTCGGAGAGGATAAAATGATTGGGGGAGAGGGTGGGAGGGGGTTATGTTAGACACAGGTAGCTTAGAGAGCTTAAAATATTATTTTTACGTTCTTATTTCTCAGCTATTTCTATTTTGATAATTTCGCCAATTGATGATTTTTAAATCCTTCGGAGAGAGAAATATGATGAGGGAGGGGGGGGGGGGTATGCCAGACACAGTTAGCTGAGAGAGCTTAAAATATTATTTTACAGTTCTCATTTCTTAACTATTTCTATTTAAATAATTTCGCCATGAATGATTTTTCAGTCCTTCGGAGAGGGAGATATGACTTCGCAAGGTGATGATTTTTCAATCTTTCGGAGAGGGATATATGATTGGACGGGGGAGGGGGGTGGGGAGGTTATGTGAGACACAGTTATCTGAGAGAGCTTAAAATATTATTTTCATGTTCTCTTTTCTTAACTATTTCAATTTTAATAATTTCGCCATGGATAATTTTTCAATCCTACGGAGAGGGAGATATAATTGGTAGACATGGAGTGGGGGGGGGGGGTTATACCAGACACAGTTAGCTGAGAGAGCTTAACATATTATTTTAAAGTTCTCATTTCTTAACTATTTCTATTTTAATAATTTCACCAGGTGATGATTTTTCAATCCTTTGGAGAGGGAGATATGACTGGGTCGAGTGGAGAGAGGGGGATATGACAGACGCTGAGAGCTATTTTCTTTCCTCTCATTTCACCATTCTGGGCCACAGCAACGCGTGGCCGGGTGCAGCTAGTTATAAAATAAACTGGGGGATAGATGGTAAAATAAACTGGGTGATACACACACACATTCCCCACAATATACACACATACATGCATACATATGACAGACCTCTGATTTACTACCTTGATGGTGGGTGGCTTGTTTTACAGACCTGTGACAATCTATCCAAAATCACACTTCACCAAACACCCACAGAACACACACAACAATCTTTAATGTAAAGCACAGACTAACATGAGACAGTTGATGTCAAGAGATGTGGGCACCCTTGTCTGAAATGCAGGATGTGGTTGCTTTACAAATCACCATGCATGCCTTCCCATCCCTATGGATAATACTCAGTTCCAAACCCACACTGCTTTTGATATGCTATTTTCTTATGCCACTGGACTTCACTAGGATCGCACAGTGACTGTACAGTCTGGGGACAGTTTGCAGGGATAGATAATATCATAACCACCAGTCCCAATCACCCTGGCTGCTAGAATATCTCAACACTACGTACCTGATACATTGTACAGAATACTTTCACCATCAAACACTACAAAACACAAAGGGATTACTATACCTTCATGAAACACATTTGACAAGTGCCAGTTTAGCTTGCGGCTATACTAGTAGGGATGTTTATGTTTATCACCGGTGTGTACCCAGACCCGACCTCAGGTTAGACTATCACTACAACCGAGAAGAAGTCATGACGACTGAACTCTACTTGCGGAAAAGCCACGAGGAATGTTGAGTGAGGGAGGTGAACAAAAACACTGGACAGAGCCAGCTGTGGACAGACAAACGGACGAGAGTGGACTTGTATGTGACAACAACCATTAGCTGTTAATGTGTTATCGACCAGTTAGTGACTGACCATTAAGTGCGCCCCGGGGAGACTTGACCTCTTCACAGGGGCGCCACAAAATATTCGAAGATGCGCAAGTTTTATATTTTATTTTTTTTATCTCTTACATACGAATAGTCATACTTAGGTTAAGGCGCCATGGAAACATTTTAATTGAAATAAGGTGCAACGACTAAGAAAAGTTTAGAAAACCCTGGCATAGAACCTGTTGGCAGTTAGGTATAGTTATCATTGGTTGTGGCGTTAAAACTGCCCGCGCACCTCAGCATCTCACGTGGCGAGGACAGTGGTTTGACAAGCGCTGTACTGAAGTTGAGTGGGTTTGTATCCCAGGATATTCGTAGGAATGGCACGGTCCCCTTAGTGAATGTAAAGGCGGCCAGCATTTCGGATCGGGGATACCCACCACCTTTGAGGCTACCTTCATAGTTTGACTTCATCTTTGTTTATCAGGGACACCCACCACCTTTGAGGCTACCTTTATAGTTTGACTTCATCTTTGTTTATCGGGGACACCCACCACCTATGAGGCTACCTGAATAATTTGATTTCATCTTTGTTTATCGGGAACACCCACCACCTTTGAGGCTACCTGAATAGTTTGACTTCATCTTTGTTTATCGGGGACACCTTTGAGGCTACCTGAATAGTTTGACTTTACCTTTGTTCATTTCATTTTATGTGTGCTCTGCCGGTGTTTGGTTTAAGTGTGTAGTAGGGTAGTTTTGTCTGTTGTCAGCCTACAATACAAGCCAGATTAACCAGATTAAATACAGAATAGAGAAAGTTGCTGACAACATTATCGCAATATCGGTCACTAGAGTATCACTACAAGACTCTATAATTCTAAACCGTCACTCTATCAGATGTCCCATGTCTCAAATCTACAGTATACAGACCCACACATGCACACGCAGACACGCACACATGCAGACACACATACACAGATTCAAGACACACACCAGCACACAGAGACACACATACAGCCACACACATGTGAGCCCACACATGCACACGCAGACACACACACACACAGAATCAAGACACATACATATAGCTACACACATGTGAGCGCACACACACAGATATACACACACACAGATATACACACAGGCACACCCACTGATACACAAGCGCAGATACACACACAGAGACACACATACAGCCACACACATGTGAGGCCACACATGCACACGCAGACACACACACATGCAGACACACATACACAGAATCAAGACACATACATATAGCTACACACATGTGAGCACACACACACAGATATACACACACACAGATATACACACACAGACACACACACAGGCACACCCACTGATACACAAGCGCAGATACACACACAGAGACACAGATGCACACATTATGTCATGTTTTCATTGTGTGGTCTCTGAGTTTGACCTCTGACATTTGTCCTGTTTTTCAGGGAGTCAAGAACATCATCATCCTGCTGCTGGCATTCTGTGTCATGTCTGCAGGAGCCATCTTAGCCGGGCTGTCCAAGTAGTTGGCTTGTCACACCACAACATGGACATAGGCACTGTCACAATTTGTACCTCACACAGAACATGGACACATAGCACGGTCACATGTAGACCTAAGCACTGTCAAAATCTGCACATCATACATATGCACACGTAGCACGGTCACACATGGATACAGGCACTTCACAATCTACAGATCATACAGAACATGGCATAGTCACATGTAGACCTTGGCACTGTCACAATCTGTACCTCACACAAAACATGGACACATGGCACGGTCACGGTCATCCACACATCACACTGTGATATGGTCAAACACCCTATCACAACAGTCTGTATATTCTTTGTGTGTTATATTTATATGTGTACATGCATCTGTGTTTATGTGTACATGCATCTGTGTTTATGTGTTCATGCATCTGTGTTTATGTGTTCATGCATGTGTTTATGTGTACATGCATCTGTGTTTATGTGTTAATGCATCTGTGTTTATGTGTACATGCATCTGTGTTTATGTGTACATGCATCTGTGTTTATGTGTTCATGCATCTGTGTTTATGTGTTCATGCATGTGTTTATGTGTACATGCATCTGTGTTTATGTATACATGCATCTGTGTTTATATGTAAACATGCATCTGTTTTTTCTAGATGTGTGTAGTTACACTTGTTGTTTTCCCATCCATGATTTAAATGTGTGTACATGTATTTTAGATGTATGGTACAGTTGCATTATCTATGTTTGTATTAGGAGTGTGGTTACATAATCTTGCTTGTCTGTGTCTCTTTGATGTACACTTGTGTTTTCTCAGTGTGGAATTATTTCACTTCTTAATGTGTGTATCCAAACAATTTTGTCATTGTAAATCTGTGTGTGTGTACTTGTCAATTTCTGTTTGATTGTTGGTGTCCATCTGTGATGATTGATTGATTGATGATATCTTGTGTCCATACTGTTTCAGTTTAATTACTTATGTCTGCTTCAGTGATTCTCTGTTGGTAGATTGTTGATGACTTTCTCCAGATTGTGAGAGACCATAAAATCCATGACAGATGATTGTCAGTGCTTAAATTTCTGAATTTGTCACATTCAACAAATGTGACTTGTGTGTTTAATATATAGTTATGTTTTATACATTCCACATATAGTCATGACTTGTACATTCAACATGTAGAAATACTCATCCATAATCTGGCAGTTGGTTGCAGATTTATAATATTCACAACTTTTATTTTTTGGTAAGTTTTTTACAAACTATATCAGGTGTTTATTTACCAGGTTTTAAATATGTTGCGTTGATCAGTCGTTCATTTTATCTCCCTTGGGGTGCTACTTTATGGTTTATCATATCATTCTGAGATGAAACAATCTCATTCTGGATGGCAGACCAATGATGCAGATATCTCAGAGACCCGGTTCTGAGATGAAACAATCTCATTCTGGATGGCAGACCAATGATGCAGATATCTCAGAGACCTGGTTCTGAGATAAAACAATCTCATTCTGGATGGCAGACCAATGAGACAGATCTCAGAGACCCGGTTCTGAGATGAAACAATCTCAGACTGGATCGTGAACCAATGAGGCAGATCTCAGAGACCCCCCCCCCCCCCCCCCCCCCCCCCCCCCCCCCCCCCCCCCCCCCCCCCCCCCCCCCGAGGTAAATGGTGGAAGAGAAAAAGAATATATATGTACACTGTTTGAATGTAGTATGTATGTCAGGTGTTTCTATGTTAGTATGTATACCAGGTGTTTATATGTCAAGTATTTATCTGTTGGTATGTATGTATGTACAGTGTTAATATGTCCGTATGTGTGTAGTGTTTATGTGTCATTATGTATGCCAGGTGTTTATGTTAGTTAGTTAGTTAGTTGGGTTATCATCATTGCACTCAAGACATGTCCAGAGGTGCTCAGATCCTCCCCTCAGTATGAATCCCAACATCCGATGACTAATAGTACCAGTTCTATGTTGATTAACAAGTCGTCTGGTGTGCATCTCGTTTTTTGCTAAGCCTATCTTAATTCCAAAGTCTGCCATTCTAGTGAGTGATGTGGATTCACTGCTCCCAAAGTCCTCTATCCTTCCCATTTCTCTGAGGGCATTAATAATATCAGCATGATCCATAGGCTGAACTTCGGAAGTGATAGCGGATCCAGCCAACCTGTCAGCTCTTTCATTTCCATCGACGCCTGCGTATCTCGGAACAAAAATAAAGGTGACTCCAAGCACAGTGGACTTTAGTGATGATTCAAGGTGTTTATATGTCAGTATGCATGTCAGATGTTTATATGTCAGTATGCATGCCAGATGTTTATATGTCAGTAATCATACCAGGTGTTTATATGTCAGTATGCATGTCAGATGTTTATATGTCAGTATGCATACCAGATGTTTATATGTCAGTATGCATACCAGGTGTTTATATGTCAGTTTGTATACCAGGTGTTTATATGTCAGTATGTATACCAGGTGTTTATATGTCAGTATGTATACCAGGTGTTTATATGTCAGTATGTATACCAGGTGTTTATATGTCAGTATGTATACCAGGTGTTTATATGTCAGTAAGTATACCAGGTGTTTATATTTATGTTGGCTGTTGATATGCATGTCAGGTGTTTGTATGTATGTCAGTTTTTATATCAGAATGTATGCCAAGTGTTTATATATATGGCAGATTTTTGTATGTCATTATAAATACTCAATGTTTATATGTATGTCAGGTGACATAGAGGGGATAGATCTGTTCCTGCTCAGGTAAGTCTGACTGGATAGTGTGGTAGATCGACCCGGCAGTTTGAAATGATGATGATGATAGTGGTGATGAAGACAGAGCCATATTCTTTTCTTGCAGTGACCTCTTCAGGGGTTGGTTTTTTTAAAAGATTTAGATGAAGACATCAGTCACATAGATTTAGATGAAGACATCAAATGGTTTGTTGGTGTCATAGATTTAGATGAAGACATCAGTCACATAGATTTAGATGAGGACATCAAACGGTTGGTTGTTGTCATAGATTTAGATGAAGACATCAAATGGTTGGTTGGTTGTCAAAGATTTAGATAAAGACATCAGTCACATAAATTTAGATGAGGAAATCAAACGGTTGGTTGGTGTCATAGATTTAGATGAAGACATCAGTCACATAGATTTAGATGAAGACATCAAATGGTTGGTTGTTGTCAAAGATGAAGACATTAGTCACATAGATTTAGATAAAGACATCAGTCACATAGATTTAGATGAAGACATCAGTCACATAGATTTAGATGAAGACATCAAATGGTTGGTTGGTGTCATAGATTTAGATTAAGACATCAAACGATTGGTTGTTGTCATAATTTTAGATAAAGACATCAAATGGTTGGTTGTTGTCATAGATTTAGAAAGACATCAAATGGTTGGTTGTTATTACATACCTTTAGATAAAGACATTAAAATGTTGGTTGTTGTCACATACATTTAGGTAAAGACGGAAGCAGTAGCGATAATGGCTAAAGCAGGGGCTGAAAACCATTATTCTCTTATTGTTTTGAAACATCGTGTTTGGAATGTTTTTAGTTTTGATGTCTGGAATGTTGATCCACAAAACATCCCAGACCTGCGAGCTACACCAGTTTTGTCACTTAAGTTGTTCTCTTTGTTCTATACATGCCATATTTTAAAACTATGTGCTATACATGTGTTTGGGGGAAAAAATTGTTGAAGATTATGGGCATTGTGTCATTGTATGGGTGAATATCTGTTGTTGTTTTTTTTTTTGGTCAACACTTTCAATGTCTTCCTGGCATTGGGTTGACCAGATGATTCTTCCTGTGTAGTTTCATTGGACATTTGTCTCAGTGTGGGTCTGCGGTCTCAACAACAGGTACCTCACATATGGCATGCCTCCTCCACATTCCTTCCCTTTCTGTCATGCTGATGTAAGCTGTGCTTTTAATGTTGTTGAAGTAGGATGTGCTGTATTGAAATAAGTATTGTAGTTCTAGGCTGTGTTGCCGTCTGCTGTCAGTTGACGGTTTCCTCCAGATTCAAGCCCATAGCCTGACCTGCTGATAGAGATGAAGGATTTGCTTCTTGGGTGTGTCTGGCGAGGGTTGGAACTCGTTCTCAATGTGTCTCCCCTGTCCTTCCTTCCAGGATAACAAAACCACGTGAAGTTCTGGGACATGAACTCATCTATTTATTGCAGGAACAACCAACATGTCTGCACTTTGACATCTGCTGATAACAACTGAGCAAATGGAAATGCATTTCAAGTGCCCAGATGTTGATTGCAGTTGACCAAGTAGTCAGAAAACACATGCAAGCGCATACACGCATACAAACACACACACACACGCATACAAACACACACACAGACAATATGTAACAAGTTTCTTATAATTCAATGTTAGTGGTTTCCTACAGTCAGCCTATTTCGTGTGATCAATTGGAAATTGATGACCTGAACTTTCTTCACAAAAACTGATGACAGTGAGGCAATAACTTTACTGTATGATGTTTTTCTCATGCAACACAACATGCAGGTTTTTGGGCCACATCTAGGGATGTCCTTGACACTGCTCATATCCAAGGATTGTGTTCATGTCACACATTCTATAAAATCCTACAGCACGTCTTCAATCAATGTTTGACATCAGTTAAAGCTTGTGTTTTATTTGTTTATTGTTTACGTACGTGTATTTCTGTGTGGTTCATGTATATGTGTGTGTGTGTGTGTAGTTATGTCTTGATATATAAATGTCCACCCAGTGTCACCATGCTATCCCAGCCTCGGCTAACGACTAAAGATGTCGCTTCTGTTATCCGGACCTTCTTTTGCTCACTTCCTTTCATGTTTGATTCATGCATTTACAGTGAAATGTTGGTACACACTTATACAGGCATGTGTGCTCTAGTGCTATGCTGACCACATGTCTCGTATTCACCAGGACAGTTCGACTCCAGACAAACCGCCAATTGCACCCGTTTTATAAAAAATCTAGGAATCAGTTTGAGAATTGATCGTACGT